TTAATCGATTATTTTTTTCGATGTCAATCAGAGATGTGTTTCCAACCTCAGAAAAATAAATAATTTATAATCCTTGGTGGATTACCAATTAGACACTTGGGACAGTGCCTCAGTAACAAGAAACTGTAACCGGACAGTAACATTTCATCAAATTAAAAGAACTCAAGACGAAATTACATAAAGAATCTGTAAAGTTTAAAAAGGTTACCACTCTTTACGAGATATTTGCAACTGTAAAATTTTAGAAAACGAAGCCATGTAAAATATAAACTCTATAATTCAAACAGACCATACAAATTATTTATAGGTGCATTTATTTCAAATAATTTAAATCAAAATCCTAAATAAAAGTTTAAGCAAATTTTCCCCCGTAACATAAATGAAAGATCCTTTTAAGTTTCCTTCCACAATCACAGTTAAGTGCTTAATGACTGTGTTAAAGCTTGTCTTTACGTACATTACCATAAAATACAATAAAATGAATGTTTTTGCATAGTCCCAGTTTACTTCACTTAGTTTCTCTGTACGTCCAACTTAATGTAGATCTGGTTACACTTTGAGTGACAGTGTAAAGGTATGAATCAACAAATACTTATTACTGACAGCTTTAGTTTTTAATATGCACATTACCATATGATATACAAATTCAATGTTTTAAATAATCCACTGGCCACACAGGACAACATCCGCATGGCTACCCTTCCTTCAACTGCAAACAACAAACTTAAAATGATAATTAGCATTATTACAATTAAAATCAGATTTGTACAAATAACATATTAAACTACCGTATCTACGTAAGGATCTTACCACAGAAATTATAAATTATTCATTGTCAAAATTTCAAAATCTATTAACTTCCGAACTCTCGTGAGATAAATTGTAATGTTTTCAAAAACTTAAATTATTAGTGAGGTTAAAGACGTAACTGACAAATCAATTGGTAATGGTAAGCACCGAACATTTTCACATTTAATTACAAATATTAAACAAAATGTGGAAAGGCAGATCACCCACAACCACTCAAACACAAAATGGTGTCATATTATGTAAAAGTCACTTCACTTAACAACAAATATATATCTCTCCATTTGTGGTGAATCAGTTTTTTTTGTGCTGTTCAATATATCAACATTAACTTATTTATATATGTGCTTGCCAGTCAACTTTACAAGTGTAACTAGCAAAATAAACAAGACTAATTTAAGTCATTGCTTCAAGAGGGCCATCTACGTGTATTGGAAGCCTCGATAATATCGAGTATATAAAAATACGGCATGTACAGTACTTGTGGGATGGCGAAAAAATACGGCAATTAATTATAAAAATCAGTAGGCCTATTTAATTACGTAAGTAAAGCGTGCATCCTCAAATTTCTAATTATGAATGTCACAAATCATAACAAGTGTTTTCAATGAGATCAAAATTAGGGCACATTACAGTTATTCAGTTTTTGACATTTCACGTTGTTTACCAACATTTGTGGTTATAGAAGTTTTATGGCGTGAAATATTGTACAGTTGTTTGCTACGTCAGTGAGGACCTTCATTATCTACACCAGTGGTATTCAACCTGGGGTACGCGAAGACATCTTAGGGGGTACGTGAAATTTAAAAAGAATTATGATAAGCACTGAATAATCAGGGCTACATTTAATACATTATTTTGGATGTAATTTATTTTATATGTAGATTATATACTATGTATAACTTGAATTATACACCAACAACTTTGGGGGTACAAAGTTGAAGAGATATTATATCTGGGGGTACGCGAATACCACTGATCTACACAACACTGCACAAATGCTGGTTTAGTGATTGACAATACCCACAATAATTACTTATATTATTTTCTCAAAAGATGGTATCGACTGTAGGTAGAAAACTTTGTTACAAAGGTAATTAATGAGTGACTGTTTGTAGGGAAGTGTACTTATTGCCAATTACTTCGCGCTAATCAAATGACATAAGATACTAAAAGCAAATACCTGTCCAGATACCAAACAGTTCAGATATATGATATCTGAAGCTTTCACAGCGACTACACTCGATAAAATCCTATCAGGCCACGTAATGCAATAAGTCGCCAAAAGAAATAGACGTTTCAGAGATACGATTCCTTCCGACTGGGAGAGAGAGAGAGAGAGAGAGACGGTTCCTGAAACAATGGTTTGCTTTAACCACTTGTAACGGGTGATGGCACAAAAGGATTCTATTGGGCCAATTCAGGTTTCTGCATATCTGGCTATATCAAATTACTTTACAAAGGGTTCTCACGATTATAAATATTATTAGGTTTCTGGACTCTGTCCATTGTGTAGTGATTGAGGTTAGTTTCATTCTAACAAATGTAACAGAATAGGTACTCCCAGGATTATGCCTATGGATGGAAAAAGATACATTTTCTGAAACACTGCAGTCTATTCAAAATACCAGACCACCAACAAAGTTCCTAAACACAGGAATACAAACAACAAACGTATTTTTAATATTCACTAGTCTTTGTAACATTGCTGGGAGAAATATGGGTTACCATGACAACCAACAAATACCTTCTATTCATCTGGTGTTTTCCGATTTGTTTAAGAATAAGAACTGATACTCCCTGAAATTACAGAGTACAGAACTACCAAAATCAGTTAATCCTGTGTCTCACTAACATTCTTCTGGATGGTTAACCTCTTTCTTATGCCTTCATGATAAATTCTCACATAACCTAAAAATTTGTAATGTATTCTAAAGCAATAAAGTACATTAATGCAAATAAGTCACATAAATGTGCTGCCACACTGTAGACAACCCTCTTTGCTCCTAATATTATTGCAGTTCTACCAACTGCATAAAGGATTCAATCGCTAAGTTAACAAAACACTGCTTTAAATCAGCATAGGATACATGGTGTCTTCTCATGACCACATAACCTCACAAATAAATACCTAACACAAGAAACAAGGACACTGACTGAGGAAGACCTAGCTACAATTTAAAGTGATGGACACTCGCTACATAATAGTACCGTACTAATGTAAAACATTCAAATTCCTCGTCGAAGAACATGTACATATACTTTAATTGGCACTTGGTTGCATTTCAGTAATGATATTATGTTATCACAATATGAGCTATTGTTTCTTCATTTTAAAATTACAATAAATGAGTACAGTTATTCCATTCTTCCACTTATTATTGTTATTTTTAAATCACCAGCACGCACACACACACACATGTACATATACACAGCTGTGTTTAAGAAAACAGATAATGACTTAAATTGAGATAATAAAATACTGCAAATCAAGAGCCAACTTAAGATAACTGATTACGAGTGTGACAGAAACTGATTCAAATGGGCACAACATAATACCCATTAGAAACTGAATATGATTTGCTGAGGTAGGGTAACTTGGCTTCATGTTCTTTATTGCATACGAGGAATAAATCAGTACAACCAGCCAGTGATTTAGATGATAGACGCACTATATTTAAAATAATAAATGGCAGAGTAAAGAAATCAAGAACTGTAGGAATATAACACTGG